AACGTCAATTTCGTTGCGTGTCGTCGCGCACACCGGCGGCTACTGGCTCGTGGAAAGAACGTGCGCCACTTATTATGGACACTAAATTGTTTGGTTCAGTTAAGGGTGAGCGGAGTAGAATTTTGAATGCTCCGTGACATTAAAATTTTAGTGTTTGTGCGCGTTCGCGTTTTTTTTTCTTTCTTTTCTGTCTACACCTTTGACTAGGTGGCTTCTACCTGTGATGAAACAGAGTAGTTGTCGGAATTCTGCTAAAATATTGTATAACATAGAAGTAACACGTCAACGCATAATACAGGTGATAAGAGGGAGGCGGGGTGAGGGGGTCCTTTTGAATTTTATTTTGCACTAGGCTTTCTACGAGAATTCGTTGACGAGCTCTACAAGTCTCATCACAGCTGCAGTAGCGACTCCGGTTTCAGACCTTGTACTCTTCGAAAAGTAGAGAACAAGTAATAACACAAAAGAACAAGCCCAGAACTCAGGCAGGTTTTGACGCCGGTGACGAGAAACAAAGGTTTGAAAGCACAAACGAAAACAACAACGAAGTAATGCGGAGCAGAGAGACGAGAACGTGTGAAACCAGACGCGGGGCACTCGAATGCTGTGTGTCGGCAGTTTTCCTTTACCTTTTGTTTTTAAAGCGGCGTAAAGTTGATACACCGTTTTACTTAACAATATAACGCAGAGGACGCTAGGAGTCAGCGAAGCCATTCCAGTGACTTCTGTTAAGGGGGGTTGCAGCGACGCGCCGGGAACGTAAGCAATGCAAGCGTGACGTTTTGCATTGCTTCATGTCACAACTCAGACTGCGTTTTTTTGGTCTAAACATATGTTTCGGCATCGTCATTCGCTGAGCTGCCTCTGAAGTTGCGGTGATTGGCTCTCCGAGTGTTGTGCGGGAAAATAGACGCACGGGCTTTTTTTAGAATGCAGCGGTATAAGCGACATGGCCACTGTGTGTTTGTGAGCCTTCGTGAGTGGGGTTCTCTTCAATATTTTCTGTTCCAAGAACAGAAAATCAATCAGTAATTTACGCAGTCCACTGCGCAAGTGATAAATGATGCGGTACTTTTTGTATAACGTGATTTTCAGTTGACCTTTCCAGTGGTGCAAAAAGGTACTCGAAACACTGTCCGACAATTACTTTAAAGCACTTCTCGCAATTATAACAATCCTGTTTTCGGCTCACAGCAGTTTGTGCCAAAACAAAATAATACTTTTTAATTGGTGTTATTTTGCGCTTTTCATGCATGAAACTATACACAAAACTCTCATGACTGACGTTGCACATCCGACATTCCTAACTCTTCCAATCTTACTAAACGTCCGTGTGTGTCCTAACACCAGAAACGGGAGTTTTAAAGGTTAAAAAAGAGACGTTGCGAATATGGGAAGCACACTTTCATGCAGTGCTGGCGTCAGGCGACCGAAAACGAAAAACATACGTATTTACAATAATATTGTTAGCTCTTCTGGTGAAGGCTCAGCAGCCGTTGCATTCGTTTTGAGCACGAAACGGTGACTCACAGAGAAAGTTAGAACGCAGTGTTATTGCCTTTATTTTAACAATGTACGCACACTCGCAGGCTTGCGCTGATGAGGCTTCAAGACCGAAACTCTCGTATCGTGATTCGTGACTGCATCAGCAGAAGGGGCTTGACAACCTCGTTGTCAAGCCCCTTCTGCAGGAAGTCACTGTAAAATTGCCATTAAACTCACAAAAAACAGCACCGATAGAATTATACTCTAAAAAAAGTCCGTGCGTCTACTTTCCCGCACAACACTCGGAGACCCAATCAGCGCAACTTACGGGGGCAGCTCAGCGAATGGCGATGCCGAAACATGTGTTTAAACCAAGAAACGCTGTCTGAGTTCTGACATTAAGCAACGCCAAACGTCACGCTTGCATTACTGTGGCTGCACGATCCGTCGCCTCGGTGCCATGAATTCCTATGAAGGGGTGGCTCTATTCTCGAAGCCGGTCAATTAAAAGCACAGTGTAAAGGTAGCACGTTAGCGGTGAATCAAAAAGATAAAATTCGTCGCGATTAATATAAAAAAAAGATGAACCAGTCTTCTTTTTTAAACACTGCCCATATCCGCCTCTATGTTGCACCTTATGTATCATTTGGTCGCCGCGCCGTTGTTGATATTTTTTTTGACCATGACTGTACCGCGACCTGATGATGTCTTATCTTTTTCATACTTGATATTACTACCAGCCTTCCCCTCCCCCTTCCCATATAAAAAACGTAACCGAACACTAACAATAATAATAAAAAAAAAAGACAAGGGGGGAGGGGCATTTGCGTGCCATATTTGAGCGCGGGGATGTTGTCCGCGTATGTCACTATGACGGCTGGACAGCGAAAGCTCGATTTCAGAACTTAGTAGCACTTTTAGCGCTCTTCCCCTCTACCAACTAGCCCAAGTGCATACATACCCTTCTAGTAGCACCAAGACCTTACAAGGTCAGGACCCATGGTAGGCGCATCTTCTGGAGAAATAGGCAGCACCTTCTCGCCTTTGATGCTTCGATGTTTCGGTGCTCCTGGCAAGTCAAGGGGCCCCCAGGACTTGAGCCGAACAACAGAAACTTCCTCGGCAGAGTGCAGTCGAGCGCAGCAGCAGCACCTACCGTTTCGCTTTTGAGTTGTGGCTGAAAGTCACGTGAGGCACGACAGCAAGAACGCGTATCAGCATTCCTGTCCGCACCCCCGGTGCGGTTGAGACAGCCATTCAGCAATTTGGAATATAAATCGCGTTTTCGGCGAGCATAGCTTCTCTTATTTTTTCTCTCTCTTTTTTTTTTTTAGGTTCATGTAGATCATTCAGTATGCTCCGTTTCACATTAGGAAGACGGGCAACGTGATTATGTTCGCCCTCTCAATCGACGCGATAAAACCCACTGTAAGCATCGTTCGTTGTCTTGAAGTAGGTAGAGCCACTACCGTAACGTTGACGAGCCCGTTTCTAAGCCCCCTTTTTTTTATTTCCATCTACTTTTACGCTACGTAAGGCGCTTTGTTTAAATTTTGTTTAATGCGAAAACATTAACTGGTCTCATGCAGTGAGCTGACGTCATCAGTTGGAAGCGCGGAAACGGCTCCTAGTTTTTGCGATCGCCTTCGGTTTCATTGGCTGGTGCGCGTCGACGGGGCTTCCATTGGCCGTTGCGCCATGGCCTCCGAGATCCTGAAGCGCGCGCGCGCGCTAGTACGCAGCAGACGACAAAGGGAGCGGACGAGCGGCTTGCATGCTTTTGCATTCACAACTCATAAGAAATGCTTAGGTGTACCTCGAGCTTTTTTAGTACCAGTCTTTAATTTGGCCCAACCCTGACACGTAGTCATCTTGAAAGACAATGACAATACAATGGTTTAACTGCAGCGAAACAAGAATTCCTTACTGCACTTCTTTTTTTTTTTTTCAATGACACGCTGGTTGATATTTGTGTTTTGGCAAATAAATAAATTACGATTTGTTAAACGCCGTTTCACAGTTAGTGGGTGCAAGTTCCGAATAACTAAAAGAAGACGCATGACACAGTATGAAGTATTCTTATACTTCGCCTCAACTTTACATGGACTAATCGCAAAGGCCACAAGCGCGAACGAGTAGCTTTGAGTCGTGCAACCGCTGCACGAGCGCTCGTGTATTGTTAATGGCTGGGGTACGGACAGGCTGGAGAACGGGTTTGGGCTATATTACAGTGTTCTAGCTATATTGTTTTAATGGGACATGATTTGATGGTGGCGCTGGATAGTAAGTCCCATTCTGTCTCTGCCGCGCGTTCTTCAAGTCTCCCCCATATAGCCGCGGTGACGTGACGATATTGCGTCACCGGCGGGATGCTGGAGGGATTGGGGGTGGCACTCGGCATCGATAAAAATGAGGTCCAACAGCCCCTGTCATTGTCCCGGAGGTTTATGGCTTCGCAGTAGCAGCTTCTCTTGATGTTAGAGAAAGAGGAAGTCGAAGAAGACCCATTGAAGTTGGTTACTTCGGCAGATGTTTAAAAACCTTGGTTCCGGGGGTTCGAGGCGGTCTCTGTCGAGCGATGCAGAAGCCGAGACGAGACCAAACGCAAGGGGCCTTTGTGGTTAGTCATTGTTAAGGTGAGACGAGGTATAGCGCTCAACTACAGGTACTTTAACTCCATGCCCTGCGCGCAATTTCAGAGGCACTCAAATTCAGACAAAACGCCATTCTTTGCATACTTGCACCACCCCCAACATAAAACTTCATTGCCGAAGGCATGACGCAGTGTTGTAGTTCGCTGCATGCTTGGGGTGGTTGTTAGATTGCCCCCCCCCCTTCCCCCTCCCCCTCAAAGCTTTGTGCTGGACGTTTAAACGCAAGCATTAACCAGACATCATATTACGCCAACGAACAGGGATTTAGTTTTGGCTCGGGGTTTTAAATAAAATCTGAGTAGAAATTGCGACCCATAATTCGCAATGCTGATCTTAAAGTGTACGCCTTCTTTAGAGTTAAAATATCGGTAACAGTTTGTGAGCTAGAACACTCCTTGAGATTGCTTCAGAACTTTTCTGGGTCACGTCCTCGAAAATTCTAAGAAACAATCTATCGTGAATTTTCGTTCGCGTGATACCGATTGTCACAATCGCTCTGGTTTATCCGTCACGCACTCCCGATGAGCCCAGCACTGAAGACACGCCCACCTGTCGAATTTAAAGATCGACACTCAACAACCTTTATAGCAACCATAGAAATATCTTATTAAACATCACGCTTTTTAGTCAAAGAAAGACTCTACGATTACTGAAACTAAAACAAGTGTGTGCAGGCGAGCTGGTTTAACACTGACATAGTAACCCATGGGCGGAGAAAAAACGTGGCGGAAAAACACAAAGCTTCGTTTTTGTCCGTCCCGTTTTTTCTCCGCTCCTGGAACCATCTCACTACATAGTTGCACTACCATGACTAGACACCTTTCAGGGCTGTTCACAGTACAGACTGAATGAATGAAAACATCACTGGAAAAAGTATACTTTATTGATATCAACACACTTCTTTTTATTTTTTGTTTTCAAAACTGACTTCTTAGACTACAGCAGGAACAAAGGAGGAAACAAAACAAAACAACAAAAAAATGATAAAGGCGTAAGGCACATTTTCACCATTGTCTGTGAAACCGTAGCAGCATCGTTTTGATTTCATTATTGTACACAACGCGAGATGCGTCCGGAGCGTATCTTGCGTCAAGGAATCACAAAAAACGAGAACACACATCCACATACACACATACGCATACACAATCACTCACTCTCTCACACACACACACATACACACACACAAAGATCTCTCACGTCGACAACAGGACACTTCCAAAATATATATATGTATATATAAAAAAAAAAGAAAAAAAAAGAAAAAAAGCCCAGGAAAGACACCGAGAACAACGACTTTGTACACAGTGGCGGCACCCGAGTCCGAGTGCACGAGAAAGAGTGGCTATTTCGCACGCTTCGAGCAGTCCAACCGCGAGAGTTCATTGAGCTCAAACGTGGCCCGAACCGGGGCCGGTGTTCCACACGTCCTGAGGGGGTTGGGAAGAGCGAACGCGCGCTGCCGCCTTGCCGTGGTCCGACATGCACCTGTGGTCCGGGAGACGGCGTCGCTCCCCCTCGCACAAAACACAACCTTGGCACCTCTCCTCGGGGGCGGCGACGACACGCTGCAAAGAGGAGAAGAGCACATGAGACCCCGAACAGACGCGTAAATAGTGCTGCCGTAAAACACACACCTGACACACACACACACACACACAAACACACACACACACACACAAACACACACACAAACACACACACGCGCGTTTGAACAAATGATTTGAAAAGAAGAGAAACAAGATCTGAGAAGTGGCATCCTAAATGTGAACATAAGGTTTGTCTTAGATTGGAGTGGAAGCGCCGGTTACTTAAGAAAACGAACAAAACGACAGCCATTTGAAACATTTGAAAATATGCCGGTGCTTTGAATATATTTTTCAGGCATGTTACTTCAGTTGTAGCTAACAGCGACATCAAACATGGCACGTAAAGTAGCTGTACCTGTGCGTCAGAATGGGCGTTCGGTTTTCTGTTCAATCGCGGCAACCGCCGCAATAAACAACATTGCCGCGTTACGCTTAGCTGCACGCCCACAAACTGTCGCGTTTATTGCTGTCAGCACGCATCAAGTGCAGAAGTGCAGACGCGAAAATGGGGTTGGTGTCATTAAGCACCTTTGGGTTGTGAAGACGTTGCAGGTCACGAGTGGCTGCATGCACGAGACGGCACCAACAAGTGAAAATAAGCGAAATTAGTTCTTCGATAATCTAATTTTTAACATTATACAAACGACAGTCCGGAAACGTCAGTCACCGCGATATCAGTGGTTCGAATGCCGCGTGCATTCGAACCACGGGACTTGTTGCCATGCGGCATTGGAAGCACGGATCTCGTGGTGACGTGTACGTTCGGATCTGTTTGCAGACTCTCTTTCGTATGATGAAGCAGTGTGACCCCGGTTTTACACGACAGCTGTCAGCCGCACAGAACTATTCAGCAAATTATCTGCATTATACTGGGCACCCTGTATTACGTTTTTAAATCCGGACGTCTTTTTACCACCCCACCGATATGTGTATTACGGGAGTTTAGTGGACACATACGCTTAGAAGACATAACGAAGATACGCGTAGCAAAATCTTCCCGCTAGCTCTCGAGCAGCGTAATAATTTGTCGGTTCCATCCCAGGATGTAAGTCTCTGTTTATCTTCGCGGGAAGAGAGATTGGACGAGGGCTCGCTGAATTACAACCTCCTCGCTGTCAGGTGGGCGAACTCTGAGAAAAATATCTACGTAATTTTTTTTTGAAAAAACGGGCAACACTCGTGAAATATCTTTACCAACATAGAAAAAAAAAAGAATAAAGGACGAGGAAAAAGCAAGGCAGTTTTGTTAAACGCAAATTGTAGGAAATGCTTACGCACTAATTCATTTCCTTTTTATCCTTTCGCTTCCCTAAAAGAGCGGTAACGCTGTTTTGCGCTCTTTTATTTCTCACCGTCGGCTATTATTTTCACTGCAGGGTTATTCAAAATTCGGGAATTACTTCAAAGAGCCTACCAACCCATGAAAAATGAGCCAACAAAAAAGTGACCCGCTGAAGCCTCAGAAAACGCCAGCGGCGGGTAGGAGGTAGAATAACGTGCCCCCCCCCCTCCCCCCCCCCCCCAAAAAAAAAAAAAAAAAACAAGAAAAAAAACGACGGTTTTACGGGACGAGAATTTCCAGATATTTTCACGGTGTAATGCAGTATGTCGAGCACCACCCGGGCTTGCGGCTTGGCTTGTAACGAGCAGGCTTCCCTGATGGAAAGACCGGTGCTACAGTGAGCGCGATAATTTCCCGCAACGATAATCCTATTATATTTCTTTCGAGAGCGCGCTCAGGCTCTCGTCCTCGGAGCAATAGCGCAAACGAAGCGAGGAGGCCAAGATAGAAAAGACCCCCGAAAATGTTCTCGCCGGGTTGAATGGAAAATATCGGCTCGAACCTCCCATTCTGTCAGGCCCGCAGCCCCGACGCCGACAGGAGCGCGACTGCCCGCTAAACAGAGAGAATACGCATTGATGAGACAGTGTCAGCATTCGTTATCCTCGCGAACTCCATCGGAGGGAACCTTCTTATAAGGTGCACGCTTTATTTTTTTTTTTTTTTAACGCACGCCAAGTGCGCTAACAAGATCGCTCTAATCAGTCGGCGATCAATGCGTCCCTCCTTATTCCAATCAGAATATACGTTCAAACATCGCCAATGCCGGAGATGGGAGTGCGCGCACCTATACAGCTTCCGAGTGGACCGTTTCCGCCGCTTTGCCTTTGGCTTTCGACTCCGATTCGCTCTTCCGGCACCGATGCCGCGTGCAATCGGGGATGAAATGAAACGAATCAGGGCCCATGAGTCCCTGATTCGGAAAAAGAGCGCGTATTATAGGTGCGTAATATTGTACAGAAATTCATGCTCGCGACAAATCGACGCTTGTCCCAAGAGTGTGCGCTGCATGCGTGCTCCGGCTGAAGGACGACTTTAGTAGTAGAACGTTTTCACGGCGTGTGCTGTACGTGGTTCCAACGAGATTCGATTCTTACACGTATATGAAGTCACAACGATGTATAGATGCGATTGCATTCCTTGGCGTTTCGCTTCTCCACTCTCTTAAAAAAAAAGACTGCGGGTCTACTTACCCGCAAAACATTCGATGAGCCAATCTCTGCGATCTAGGAAATCAGCTGAGCGAATGACGAGGCGGAACATCTGTTTAGACCTCAAAACTAAGTCTGCGCTGTGGCATTACGCAATGCAAGCATGACGCTTTGCATTGCGTAATGCCACAGCGCCGACTTCATTTTTAGGTCCTAAACGGATGTTCCGCCTCATCATTCGCTGAGCTGATTTCGTGAATCGCAGAGATTGGCTCTTTGAGTGTTTCGCGGGTCAGTAGACGCGCAGGCATTTTTTAGAGTGTATCGTACAGGAAGCGAGGAAATGAAACCCAGTTTTTCGACTCGCATAAATAAGCTACGCGTTGAATACAAGCTGAAAGTTTGCGCGAGAATTACTTAACGGCCGTGATAGAATGCAAAAGTCTGAGGCAATACCATTACCTAACTCGAAAGAGAAAAAAAAAAAAAAATTCCGTGTGTCCACATATTCCCCCCCCCCCCCCCCCCCTCCCCCTTGTTCGGAACACCAAGAAATGACATTTTATGTCTCCTGTGAAATTTATTTACGGGAAAACAACTTGTGAGTAAAAATACAATTTTTTTTTGTCTTTCTGGCAAGTTGTTTTCGTGTTAAGAATATGGCAGCAATAGATGTATCAACCAAAGGCCCTGAACTCGCCACACGTAAGGTTGTGGCCGAACTATACGGAAAGCGCCGATCGGACTCTCGTGACAATGACACAGCGCTTTCGTCAAGCATAGGACACATCTTACAATTACCGAAACCTACGTGGTTTTTATTAAGTGTCCGTAAAGTACGAAGTTTGTTTGCGAACCCGTCCTCTGATCTGCGAGTCGATGCACGCGAAGCTAGCATCCGATGACGACAGACTGGCGTGCGGCATGCCGGGCCGAACCAAATTGAGAGCTCCCATCCGCGATCCGTACGCAGATATATACAAAAATTGAAATGTAAAAGTTTTTGTTTATCTTATGTTGATAACCGTGCAGCCGAGGTGTTTGTGTTCTTGCGGCATAGTGAACTTCTTACCGCAGCATCGCGATCTCTCCCGCGATGTGCGCACGTAATGAACGGCGGGAACAGGAGCCGATGATTGAAACGAACGCATTTGAAGGACGGGCACGTTCGGTGCACGCCTGAATGAGATCAAAGATGCGAGGGCGCAGCTATACGAACATCGAGTTTTCAAAACAAAACAGAAAGGGGCACCAAAAAAACACAGTTCGTTGCGGTTGCGCTACATGTGACCAGAATTTGTAGGAATGTTAGAGCTAACCAAAGATGTCTCAACTTTCGGAGTTTAGTTATTTTTTATTTTTATTTTTTTATTTTAAGGTTTCGGATTTATCACCAGTCGCCTTCGACAGTGTGTCCGAATTTTAGCTCTTACTCCCTGAACTGCACTCCGCAGATTGCAATCTAGTTTGCTCTTTCGAGCCCCCAAGAATGGAGACGGGGAGGAGTCCGGTATGCCCAGAAAGACACCAATCAGTTACGAATCCTCAGAGGAACCTGAACCAATCATATCTGACGCAGAGACGACCCAAATTCAATTTTCGTGATTCTTTATACTGAAGTTTGCAGTCTGCATTAACAAACGTGAGCACTCTGCCTAAAACATAAAATAGTAATAACATGCACGCTTCCGAAGTGGCAACGGTTTCAAAGCTACCTATACTGGCGCCTCGGCGCACTACCCTCTGCTTTAAGCCTTGCCGCCCAAAGCATCATGGCGCACAGTCCTCCATAAGGGGGTCGTTGGGAGCTCCCAAACTACTACTACTACTACTACTACTGCTATAATTATTATTATTATTGCTCTTGTTGTTGTTTTCGGCGCGGCCGCTGTCGAAACGCTGCGCTGGAACCCCAGCGCCCCTTCGAGGCTATCGAGGGCGGACCTGCAGCTCTTCAGGATGACACCTCGGTGCTGCCGACATTCGGGCGAGTTCCGCGGAGGCAGAGATTAGAAAGTTTCCGGGCCGTAATCCGCGCTCCATTTTATCGAATCAGAGCAGAGGAGATCGCGCCAAGCATTAGCTGAGCTTCGGTGCAGGGGAGAAAAGGGTGAAGCCGAGAAAGAAACAACAGACGCCGTGCCTTGTACACTGCGCGTGTAATAACGAACGCGCCTGAATTGATCGCAGATGCTTCAGCCCCAGGACAGCTGCCGTAATAACACGGCCGCAATGGTAACAGCTGCTGATAAGGCTAATGCAAGGAGTGTGCGCACCGCCCGGCGGAAGGGGCAGGGAGGATATGGCTCCCCTTTAAAGGCCGGCTCGGCTTTCCCGGCGGCCGAAACTCGACGAGCGCACCGCCTGGCTCAGGCGCGGCACTGTCTGCAACAGATGCTCGGTTTGGGCATTGCTTTAAGAGTCGGGAAGGAGATGGCGGGCCTGCTGGAGCGAAACAACTGTTCTTCCCGATCGGTTACAATGGC